ATCATGTGTGTAGTAAACTTAAAACATGTGTGTGTAGCAGTGGTGTAAAGTAACTAAGTATATATACTCAAATACTGTTATTAGGTACATGTTTTTCTACTTTATACAATTCTCCACTGCATTTCAGAAGGAAACATTGACACTGTTATGGCTACATTTATTTGATGTGCAGTACATAGGCAGATGTAATTTTAAACATTCAAAAAAGACACATTTCATCAGATGAAAGTAATGAACATATGAATGTATGAATAATTCTAATCCAATATTATGATGTATTTTATTCTGAAATGTGCAATATTGTATAATGAAGCTTGCATTATAGGCTAATGATTTGTAACGTTTCCCTAAGTAAGTTTGTGTGAATGTGTAAGCATCATGTCTTTGTGCGCTTTGTCAGTGGGTTGTTGGTCCAGCCTATTTTGTGGAGTTCACCATTGTGGAGACGGTGTGTTCAAAGACAACAGATGCCAGTGAATTAGGTCACTGTCCACCGATGGACTGTCAGTTTGCAGTGAGTCTCACACACACACTGTGACTAAATTCATGATGTGCTGTACTTGGACTCTATTGGAGTCCTGTCATGCTGCGACTGCAACTGTTCTTGATTTCTTCTCTCTCAGCATAGAGGCTTCTGTTTGGGCTCACACTTGGACCATGAGGAACAGTTTGAATTCAGAACCTCTGAGGGAAAGAAGAACAGCTCATTTAAGAACCGGAAGCCTGTCGACGTGACATGTGAGATCTACGAACCTCAGGTACCTGCTTTAACTGCAGTGATCCACATGTGGACAACATGACTTAGACGGGGCATAACAAATTAACTAATTCTTCTAACCCATTTGGCCTTTTTTTTGGCCTTTTGATTCATGAAAGTGTTTCTTAATGTTATAGATACAGAATCAGCGGGGTATGGTAATAGAGGGGTATGAAAAATCTGTTTGGTATTTTGAGCAAAGCACTTCAGAGACATTTTTTGTATAGATATGGCCCTATAGAGCTTTAAACTGTTTGAAATAGCAACCAAGTTATTGTCCAGTTATTGAGTCTATGGGGTCTCATCAACATTTTTGCCTATTATGTTCCTAAGAACAGTAGAAACTGAAATAGTAATCCATACTTTTCTCTGTCTCTGTTCTCCTCCCCTGTAGGCTGCCGTTGTGACAGAGCAGGCCCATGCAAAATTTGACGGTGTGCACGGTGGGCATCAGCACGACAACCATACACACCTGCACCCCCACGAGCACATGCATTCAATCACACCCAGCTCAGACGTCACTGTGTCCAGGCCCCGGGGCTCCTTTGGGACTGTCGTGGATCAGCCTGCTCCAATCAGATCTGCCCCAGCAGCCAGCTCCTGCCCCGGCCCCCACAGACACAATCTGGGCTTGGACAGACTCAAGCTCTGATTGTCTGGAACCTGTTGATCATTGATCAGTTGTAATGCTACATTTGCGCTACATGTTGTAATTAGTTAAGATAGACAATAAATTGTAAAATGGATGTAAAATATTGGAGAACAGTAAATAATCTGTGTAAATAATAATATTTGATTGATTCATTTATTTACATAGCAAGGAATCCATTTATCACATAATATGGGAACTATTTAGAAGATTATGCAAATACATGAATATATGGTGGGTTTTTTGTGGGGATTTTAAAAAATCTAACTTTTTACCTCTAAAAAACAGCTAATTGGTTGTGTCACAAGGGGAATTTCAAAAATATTTTCAATGGAGAATGCCTAAATATTAACAAAGAATGTGGCTGAAGTTGTAGCCCACAGCTTGCAACATTATATGCCCTGTTTACATCTCCCGTAGAATTATGGGTAAAGACAGTTCCAAAATCTAAAGCTTGATTAAAGTCCAACATTAAATAAAGATCGATACCAATGGCAAAAACATGTACGGTATATTCATTTTATAGTTTTTTTGTTTCATACCTTTCAAAAGTAAAAACTATGTTAAATTATAGGCTTTCTGACTCTATTAAGTTTTTTGCAGCAATTGCCCCCTCTATTGGTCAGCTGCCTCAGGAGCAGTTTGCTTCTTCTTCTTTTTTACATCCAAACACTGACTATCATCTCGTCATCTTTTTAATAATCAGAATCATTTAAGCACTGTGGAATGACCCCACATGCATATTGCTATGATTGGAATTGGAATTTAAAACCAACAACAATATTGTGTCTGAAAAGGTTGTTACAATATTTTCCAGCAAACAGAAAGGTCAATTAACATATGAACACTGAGATTAGTAATTATAGCCCAATATAATATAACCATAGCAAGGTAACACAGGGCCGTCCCTCCCTACAGGAAGATCACGCAGACTGCGCGGGCCTCGCCTCGCGGAGGGGGCCTCATGTTGCGTAGGGAACCTCATCTTGCGGAGGGGGCCTCAACTGAGCCGCAAATGTGGCGCACCTATGCGTTTACGAGGCGCAGTTAGTGTGGCGCGGCACGGTGTCGACTCCACTAGCACTCAAAAGTGCTGATTCTCAGTCTGTTACTTTAGATGAAAATAAGGAGCCACTCCCCACGTCCCTCTGAGAGATATTTGGTTGAAAAGAACACAATGGTGCTCTAGGAGGAGATTCAGGTGATAAGGTGGGCGGGGGTTACCTTGGTTGGTTATTGGCTAATGGTTACACAAGCCAAAAAATCTTTATGACATCATAAAGTGGCCAAAATCAGCTCATTTTCAGACAGGTTTTTATATAAATGGATAAGGACAAAAAGTGAGCGTTTTTTTTTTTCCTGAAACTTTCAGAATCTCTTTACACAGAGGGGACACATGTTGATGTATAACAGACAGGAAAATGTGGATTTTGCATAATAGGTCCCCTTTAAGGCTTTACTTATGAGCCACAATAATGTCACCTAATGTTATTGAGTTAAAATATAAATAGTGTGGCTTTCCAAGTTAACATCAATCAATCAATCAATCAATCAATGTTTATTTATATAGCCCAATATCACAAATGTTCCATTTGTCTCAGTGGACTTCACAGTTTGTACATAATCTGTCCTTAGACCCTCACATCGTACAAGGAAAAACTTCCAGAGAAAACCCACAGTTTAAAGGGAAAAATGGGAGAAACCTCAGGGAGAGCAACAGAGGAGGGATCCCTCTCCCAGGACGGACAGACATGCAATAGATGCCGTGTGTAAATTGAAAAGA